GAGGGACAATAAAAATAGACCAGGTCTGGAATGGCTGAAGACTGTTGTAAACCTTTGGAAACATAGGGTAGGCAGCCACTCGTTTTGCATATGTTTCCTCAGAACGAAGAAGGGGAATTTGTAAGGAACTCAGCATTTGGCAAATTTACCTATAAAAGCTGTTACTGCATGATATTTTCTCAAGCTATTTGCAGTCCCAAGGTACCTCCCTGTCTCCCATATATGCATCGTATGTTTCAGTCAACTCTGACGTTGTCCTCTCTGGTTTTTTATCTGATTTTATTTACAGCAGGAGTGGGGAATAGTTTTCAGCCACAGGACCATATTCCCTATGGGGCACCCTTCCAATGGCAGGCAGGGCGAAAGGCAAAAGTGGCCGCAGCAATGAATGTAAAATTTATCTTTGGACAGTAGGTTAGTTTTACACACACACACACACACACACACACACACACACACACACACACCTACCTCTCTGTCTTCCATCCAGGCAATCAAGAGGCGTTACCAGAGTTCAAGGACACTTTCTACCCAGGCAAAAGTACTCAGGGAACATCTGAAGCAAGGCCAGGGAGAGTGAGTGTGTGGCTAGGGAGAATCTCGTGAGGCTTGGAGGGTCACATTTGGCCCCAGACCTGTTTTTTTTTACAGCACTGTGTTGTTCTTTTAGAAATGAAGCAACTCGAGCTGCATAGATTAATCTAAAACTGGGAGTACCGTAGCAGTCATGAAATCGGGCATCTGATTCTTTCGTGTCGTATGAGTTACCGTACTTTGAATTTCATCTGGAGCTTGAAGCTCTTCATCTGTTTCATAGAGAAGCTGTAGGAGCTCTTAATCATCTGCTATAATTGAATAATCTGGGGTCATCTCCAAACCTGGCTACCTTACTGTTCACCTCTCATCAAGTTAACAGTGAGAGTCCGCAGACCCTTGAAGGGCCCTGCTGTTTACACTTCACATAGCATCCATTTATTCCTGCCCTCTGTTTCCTACTGTTCTAGCAGTTCCTGTAAGCAGCAGCGGCCGGCGTGCAGGGGAGAGGCGGTGCTTACCTGACCTCCTGACAGCTGAGCTGCTGCTGCTTACCAGGAGGGAAAGGAGCAAGGCGGCAGGGAGGCTGGCACAGTGAAAACCCTCCAGCGGAGTCAATCCAGCCCTACTGTCAGTGCGTTTGCATCATGCTGACCTCCCCACTGCCTTAGCTCTCCCCTTCTCCCTCCTGGCAAGCACTAGTGACTTGGCTTTTAGGAATTAAAGTGAGCATTGCCACCCACAACACCTTCCACTATAGACTTTATGTGGCCCTGTACCCAATCACTATCACGTTTGTTGGTTTGTCACATCCTCTGAATAACCTCTAGCAAACTATTCCTGGCATCGTTTGAATGGATTAATGAATAAAATCTGAATTTTAAATTTGCTTACAAAAAATGGTGTGTGTGCATGTGTGGGGGTGTGTGCACTGAAATATCAAAGTTCTTTAGGAACACTTGGGCAAGTGTTATTTGGCTCTGCAACCTTTGTCACTTCTCTTTCCCATTGTTCCCCTCCAACACGTTCAGTGAAAGTTATTGCAAAGAATCCATTCAGCTTTTCTTCCTTTAGAGCTCTCTCTCTCTCTTTTTTACACACATTTGTTCTGTAGGAGTTTTCCTATGAAATGCCCTGAGACCTGCAGGTTTGGACGCTATGTAAATTCAACAAACAAATTAAATAGGAGTTCCACATATGCTCTGGAATGATGTCCCGCCTCTGTGATACTGGTTTGCTTGTTCATTTGCTTGTCTAGCATGGCCTTCTCCAAGCTACCACATGCTTCAGACTGCGATTCACATCAGCCCAAGCCTTTATGGCCAGTGGGTTGATGGGAGTTGTAGTCTAGCAACATCTGGATGGGCACAGGTTGTGGAAGGCTACTGGCAAAGGACTGGGTGCAACAAAGAGCTGTAAGACTCATCACCACACCACAATCCCTGCCAATCAAGACTAGACATTGATGGGCTGGCTTAGTGTAAGGCGGTTTCATACCGCATATGGGGAAGCACCATCACAGCTCAGTGCTAGAGCATCTACTATACCTTGCGTGCAGAAGGTGCCAAGTTCAATCTCTGTTATCTCCAGTTAGAAAATAACCCTGCCTGAAAACCTAGAGAACCACTTCCAGTTTGTGTCACCAGTGTTCTTCAACCCTAGGTCCCTGCCCTGATGTTGTTAGACAACATCATCCCATCATCCATGACCATTGACTAGATTGGCTAGGGATTGAGGGAGTTGTAGACCATCAGTATCTGAGGACCCAAGGTTGAAAATCACTGGTGTAGACAACATTGAACTAGATAGACCAATGGTCCAGCTCCGTATAAGGCAGCTTCCTGGAACTGGGATGGGGAATTTGTGACCTCCATATGTTCGACTCCAACTCCCACCAGCCACAGCCAGAATGGCCAGTAGTTAGGGGTCATGGGAGTTGTAGTTCATCCACATTTGGAGACCACAGCTTCTCCATCCCTGCCATAGTAAGTTCCCTTGCCTTTTTATGCCATCCTTGACTCCATTTATTTTTTTATGAGGGCACTTAAGTTCTCTTTTCTAATCTGTAGCACAACTCTGAAGGGGGAAATGTCTGTTGTTTTTGAATACTTAACCAAACCTACAGAAAAATATTTGACTTTATTTATCAAATATTTGTTATCTTTCCATAACATTTGGCAAATACCTCCCACCCTCCCCAAACTCCCAGCCCTCCGTAATCAGATTTGGACAATAACAAGAGCTGTCGTTTTCAAGGGAAGGATTCCTAGAACTATACATCCTCTGATTGTAGACCCCTACAAACACCAGCATCAAATAGTTAGCATATTTAGTGTTTATATGACTAAAGAGTCAAACACAGTGGTGTGTTGTCGAACTATTTTTCCCTAGAAAAGACGGACATTTTTTTCAATCCTGAATATTGAATGCCCCCCCCCCCGTCTCTCTTTGCATATCACGCCTTCAGTATTATGAGTCAATATGCCATTTGCAAATGACACTCAGTGTTTGGGTCCAAATTCCACCCTCTAGCGCATGCAAGCGACTCCCACTGACTTCAGCAGCAGCTGATCACATGTCTGCCTCATGGCAAAACCTGGCTCCTAGATCACTGCTGTGTCATCTGCTACAACAGGCGAGAAAGCTTTTGGCGCTTTGTTACAGGAGGAGACGTTTAAGGTCTTCTGTATGAAGTGTGAAGAAGGTGGATGATCTCCTTTAAGAGCAGCTGGGAGGAGAGGGTTTTGTTAGCCGGATCTGAAATTACAGATAGTTAGTGGTCCATGTCTTCAGGAAAGTTGTTTGAATGGGTTATGCCCCAAAATGCATAGAACAATGCTTGAGCTGAACATAAAAAGTTGGCTTAATCAGGTCAAACTATCCATCTGGCTCACCAACCAGATGACACACTGGCCTGGCAATTGTTTGTGCCCCCACCACCCATGCAAGATCTCACCAATTTTCACAAAAGGAAATAAATCTAGATTAGACCCTGATCTAGGGTGGACACAGAGAGGTTTAAGCACACTAATGAGCATGCAGGTTGTCCCCTCCCAGATGTATCTTCTGCTGAGCAGGGAGGGACAGTAATCCCCTTCCTCAGCTCTTTTGCACAGACCATCATCAGAGGAGGGGCGGGGGGGGGAGCTGTGTGCCTTTGGCCACTCTCACTGCTGGCATGTGCAGTCCCAGGTCTTCAGAAGTTCTGCTGACAAGAGTTGCATTGTGAGCGGCCACCAGCATGGGATGGGCATGACGAAGTGGGCTTGAATCTGCAATAAATAATACCGTAAGAGTTTCCTGTCCATGCAACTCGACAGCGCTACAGCTGCTTGGCTGCATAGATTCAACTTGCAAAACAAATGAATGAAAAGGAGATGATTTAGAGGAAGTTGCCTTCATGGCAAGGGCACTTTTCTCCAACCCACAGTTGCAGAAGAAGCTGGAAGCCGCCTGTCCATGTGCAAAATGATTTCCAATACGCCAGATAGACTGGGTTGCCATTTAGAAACCGAATGGGTCAGAAAGAACCTGGGTCCATGGTCACAACACAGACACACACCAAAAGCATAAGGGTGTGTTTTTATCTGAACACTCATGTTGAAGGGGGGCTATAATGTCTGAGTGCAAGGAAATGTTATGGGAGCACAACAAACAAAGCACCTTCTCAACAAGGCCATTTGAAGGGGACTTTACTAGGTGCTCCTAGATACCCTTACTTCTTTGCTGGGCTTTCAGAACTAGCTGGGACCAGAATAACAATAACAATATTTATTTATTTATTTATTTGTACCCATCTGACTGTGTTGCCCTAGCCATTCTGGGCAGCTTCCAACATAATATACAGAAAAACAATCACAACAGAACACAACAGAACATCACACATTAAAAGAGTCCCGATACAGGGCTGCCTTCAGACGTCTATGGAAGGTCGTATAATTATTTATCTCTCTGCCATCTGATGGGAGGGCGTTCCACAGGGCAAATAATAAAAAAATATTAATTGAGTATGCTGGAATTAAGAGGCAATGTTCTTTTCAGCACATGCTAAATTCTCAGAGAAAAGAGGAAGAAACACATCAATATTTGGGCAAAAAGCCCCTGCAGACCTTCAATAGCTGTGTATTATTGCTCTTTGTATTTTTTATTTTTTTTACTCTTTCCATTGCCTTCCTCTGCTAATTATATCTTATAAATCCAGCACCCACTAAACCCAGATGTTCATATTTTAATACCTACATTCTGTGGTTCAACTTTGCAAAGCTAGCTAACACATGTTTTAAAAGTTATTACTATTGTACTATATATAACAGCCTTGCCTAAGAGAATAGAGGCCTGCCGCATTTAGAAAATGCAGGTGCTATGTAAGCTCCCTTTTGAAAGCAAGAACTTAGCTCAGTTTCCTTTGAAGACCCAGAGACTTGAAACTGAAAACTTTTATTAATGCCATTGTCTCCTTGTATCAGCAGGTTCCAGAGAGATTCCTGGAAGTGGCTCAGATCACATTACGAGAGTTTTTCAATGCCATTATCGCAGGCAAAGATGTTGATCCTTCCTGGAAGAAGGCCATATACAAGGTCATCTGTAAGCTGGACAGTGAAGTTCCTGAGATTTTCAAATCCCCAAACTGCCTCCAAGAGCTTCTCCATGAGTAGAGATTTCAACCACTATTTATGAATGTATAAAAAATTAGCAGACCCCATTTTTGATGCCCATGTTGTGCATGTGAGTGTGTGTGTGTGTCTATATTAATTTCATTCATATATATATATATATATATATATATATATATATATATATATGGACTCAGATAAGAATCCACCATGAGTATTTTTATTTGATAAGTAACAAGTTGATAATTATTTTAACTCCAAGTTTTGTTTTACTTTTGCCCATGATTTTTAATATTTGGAAGGGGAAACAATTGGGTTACTTTTCTTTTTCAGGGAGAAGAATGTTTTGAAGTGTGTGCAAGCCTGTTTTAGTAAGTTTAGGGCATTACATTTTGCTACAAAGTGGCATTTTGTCTTAGACAAATGTCGCATCGCAATCCTACAATGATGTTTCCTTCGTTTGCACGAAGCTCGCGGCTCTAGGGAGGCATTTTACAAGCGTAGAGCTTTCTAAATTTTAGCTCAACTGTTCATTGAAGGCGGTAGATTTTTTGTGTTATAGTTTAGAAGACATATAAACAACCCTTTCAGTTACTTAGACGTCAAAAGCAGTATCTATCCACACCAGTCTTCATGCTTTTCTCTTACAAGAACAACATATGCCCCCCAAATCATTTTGCCCCATTTTCCAGTGCCCCTAGATGCTGCTGTAGCCATGTGCATCTTCTGCCATATACCCTATTGCAATGTTCTTCAACCTTCTGTCCCCAGATAGTGTAAGGTCATAAAACCATATAATTGGAAGGGACAACATTCATCATTGGACAACAGTTCTCATCAGCCACAGCCATTAGCCAATGGTTAGGGAAGATGGGAGTTGTAGTCCAACAACATCTGGAGACTCAAGATTGAAGAAAACTGCTCTACTGCAGTGATTTCCCCACCTTGACCATCCCTTCAGTAAGGTTGGGAATGGCGATGAAGAGTTTCTGTGAACCCACCGCAGGCCTGAAAAGGCTCGATTTTGGATTGGACCAAGATTCCAGCAAGGTTCGGGTCCAAACAGATTAGGGAGATGGAGCTAGAACCCCAAATTCCAATGCCGAGAGTTTCGCTCACTTTGGGGCTTTGCTCCCACCACTGTTCACCTAAATCTTGCCACCACCACCACCCAACTGCATTTCAAACAAAGCAATACTGCACAAAACATAAAGTAAATTAAGGCAAGGGGTTTTGGTGTTATCGAAGAGGCTATACACAGCATTCTAGGAGCGATTTTAAGTGTCATAATAATACTGTCAGCTTATAAAAGCAGTAGTATTTCACTCTCCGTAGAGTAAAAAACAAAAACAAACTCTTGCATGGCTCTCAGCCATAGCTGAGCATTTTTAAGTCCCATTATTTCACCAGTAAATATTGTGGTAACTCTCTCCTGTGGGAATCGGTGTGCCTTTAAGGTTACAATCCTATGCACACATACTCGGGGAGGTATGTGCCATGGAACCTAGAACTTACTTCTGAATAGATGTTGTTAGGATTAATCCGCTTTATTAAGGTGTCCTTTCCCTTTACCACACTGAACAGTCAGGTTTCCCCCACATCCTGGGAGCCATCTTTATCAAAATACGTTCCTCTGTCCCAACCAGACCCTCAAGTGGTGTATATATTTGATATTTCACATTTTTACCTGAAAAGCAATGTTTGAAATTACCCTTTCATCTGAGAAACACTGTAACATACCTTTGCTTTATTCTAAAAATTAATTGCTGAAGAAGCAGGAAAAAAGAAAAATGTAAAGCAAAGCAAAGCAAAAAGATACGTCGGATCAAAGTACAAGAAAGATTGTATTTTTCTGGCTGGGGTTGATGGGAGCTGGCATGTGGAGGGCACCAGATCACAGAAAGCTGGCACAGAGACATTTAAGACATTTTTTGTTTAAAGGAATAAACACAGCACAATACACAGAGAGAACACAACTCTAGCAAAAATGGGCTATTCCAAGTTTCATTGAACCCAGCGGGAACTTAAGTGGTTAACGGTGCTTTCTCACTTCCTTGGAATTGAGGAGGCTTCAGTGCCTCTGGGTTTGTTGCCTATAAATCATGGAGAAACTTTCTCCCTGTCTTTTGGGCTAGGGAAGCAGAAGCTAGCCACTTTTATTATTTCCTCAATCGTAAGTGATTCATTAACACAGAAGTAAACCTGATCAAACCACTTCTCTTCTACAACAAAAGTAAGCGGCATAAAATAAAAAAAGAGCGTAGTGCTTACCAGAATGGGGCTTACCAGTGCTTTTCTGTCACTTCTCGTCAAGAGAACTTTCCCCTTTTTACCACCACCTTGCGTTGAAGAGCCACATGGATCAATTCGAGTCCTGGCTGCAGACAAATATGATTTCAGCAAGTACCCAAGGCCAAACAAGACATGCTTCTTCCTTGTAATGCCAAATGGAAATGGCCACCATATACACATTCCTGCCCCTCTGTAACATCTACTGTACATCGCTGTATGCAGCCCATAACGTTCTATGCTTGTCCACCTGCATGGGGCAGGAAGATACCACAATAGCCAATTGTGATGAAGTTCTGCTTTATGTTGTTGCTGTGAGGAGATAGACACATGGCGGCCATTTTCAGCGCCGAGTGGATAAAAAATTATGGGTCTGAATATAAGCCGTCCCCAAATCTAGCCACTCCCTATATGGATTTGTTAAATCAAGGTATCTCTAGCTATAAGAGCACAATCGTAGACTGTATTCAGGTTTTATACAAGCCAGATTTTGGGGAGGGGCAGGAGAGCGTGGCCTATATTCAGACCACTACAGCACTTAGCAGATCTAGTTGGCCCTGATTTTTGACATTTACTGAAACAGAATTCATATTTTAAAGCAGCCGCAGATGGAATTTCTCCACAAGGTGACCAAAATAAGTTTACCTTAGAGTGGAAAATTAGTAATAGGAGTTGAATGAATACAACTGCAGTGAATTGATACAATAACCAGCTTTTTTCTTAAAAGCTCGCTGTTAGTTTTAAATGCTTTCTTCAGTGGTCTCCTTTTTTCTTTGGGCATTTTTGCAAAGGTGTAGTGTCTAGTAATGTTTTCTTATATTCTATGGCACTATGTATTTGTCGTTTCTCTGTTGTCTTTTGTACAGATGCAGTAAGAATTTATTGTTACCTGGGCTAGCAGTTTTCCTTATACACCCCTTACTGGCAATTTGATACAGATTTGATACCAGTTAGCCAAGGTATCTTTTTTATAGCTTAGCAATTTAATTTTTTTTAAAGGACCTTACCTTTTACTCCATTTCTTGAACTTCGTTGTTTTTTTCTTATTAAACAATTGTCTTTTGAGTTTGAAGAGTGAAAGTTTACCCCATGCAACATTTTATATATTTTGAAAAAGCTGACCTAGTCATTGCAAAGATGCTTCATTTACAAATACTGCTTGAAGAGACAGAAATGGATGAAAGTAGTTGTCAGTGAAAAGCCTTAAAAACCTGCTGATTAAAAACAAACAAACTAGGACACCAGGACCACAATCTAGTGACCCTCTTCCACATGCAATAACAGAATTTATCCATGCTGAGTACCCGTTTTCTTGGTGCAAGACTTTTGCACAATAATACAAGCAAATACATTCAAGCAACATACACTACAAGCAAAGCCCAATGGGTCTTTTCATATGTAACATCCCTGGCCCAGTAAACCATGGTTTTTTAAACTAGGAACATGGCTCTCCCCTTGCATGTCATCCTTAGCACTTCAATCCTGGTTTGATTAAAATCTAGTTCCTAATCATATCCAAACTTAGGAGCTGTGATGCCAGTTTATTAACCAGGATCTTAAACTACAGTTTGAACCACATTCAAGAATGTAACCTGACATCAAACCACAGTTCCCTGTTTCGGACATGAGCCATAGTTTATACAGACCAGGATATAAGTGCCAAGCAGGTGTACAAAGAGAGGAAGCAAGGGCAGAGTTTTCTGGCTTGGCACTTGTTCCTATCTTCATAAACTATGGTCTATTGAATGTCTGAACTGCGCCTAATTGTACATAAGCTTCTTTTTTCACTCGCCACTCTGTGGGTTGCAGCCCCTGCTGTTATTTTCAGATGTGAATTGTGTCTATGCAGTGCAGGTGATTTAGCCAATACTATGGGATAAAGGACCACCATTTAGTTGTAGTAGGCTTTGCACTCAAAGCAAGCCATGCTGCTTCCAGACTTCCTCTAAAGTACTTAGTACAGTTTTGCTTTTTGCATCCGTACGGTTGACAGCATAATTGCCACTCTTTTAATTTGTGCACAATGGGCAGACCATTAGGACATTTGTATATGTCAGATTTTGCTGATGATCTCCTGCAACCCCATGTTCAGGAAGTTTGTCCCTGTTCCAAGCACTGCTGGCCTAGATGTGCTTAGTGACATTGGAGGCAGAGCTACTGCCATGCCCAAATAATGACTGCAGCTCTAGATATCTGCACTAGCAAGTACGTCTTGCTTGAAGTACTTACTGCTGCGCTATCTGTCCTGCTGTGCCATTGCTGCTCAGAACATCTCAATATGCTTCTTCATTGAGTAATGGGACTATTCCATTTCTGATTTAGGACACATTTCTGCTGAAGCTTTCTGGAAATGTAGAGGAGGCCTTCAAGAGCTATTCCCCCCCCCCTTATGCTATCACAAGAACAATTTACCATTGGGCTGTGCATATACTTAACTTTATTAATTGGGGAGGGGACCCATTTTTGTAGCGATCGCTTACATACAGAGTCTGCTGTTTCACTGGCCAGTTTCACATGTAATCCTAAGCTAAACCATGGCTAAGCGTGAACGTGCAAGTGAGGAAAAATCATAGTTTCTTCACACCTCTCCAGGTCCTGCTACTGTCATGTTATGACATGGTTTAGTTTTGTGTTATGTCTGAACTCAGGCTAATGGTTTGTCTTGCTCCAGACAAACCACAAGCTGTAGCCATGATTTGTTCTTGGCTTACGGAGAGAGACTCAGCTTTAGACATAACGCTGAACCAAACCATGTTTTAGTTCTGGGTAGTGCAGGATTGAAGCAGCCACACTTTACATCTGAATACCGACACAATTGTTCATTTTTGCTAAGCTATGTTTTGCCATTGCATTATGTGTGAACTCAGCCACCTAGAAACATAAAAAAAAACCCCACAACTACCATACTAAAGCCATACTTCACATATAATATATATTAGATGCACTTCTAGAAATATTTTCCTTATATGTGTTTTTGTTTTCACTGTTAATTGTTAGCATTACTGGTTTTGTGCGATTATCACTACTATAATTATTATTGACTGAAAATGTGATTATTTGAATTTGGTTGAACACTACAGCTTGGGGCATTATTTTATTTATTTATTTATACGTAGCATACATCAAATCACTAGTGAATGACACACAAGAATGCTAAGGAAGGAAAAACAGGCAAGTCTTGATCTGATATATTGACATATACAATTCAACTAGATTTATGGTGACTTCATTGCATTATATAGCCATATTGCCTTTGTGCCTTCCAAGGCACATAAAATAAAATAGAAAGCATCAATCTCTGCTGTACTTCAAGTAGTCTTCATCATCATTGCTCTTTAGTATTCCCCATATATATATATATATATATATATATATATATAGCTAGGCGACGTTTCGACGAGGTCTCACTCGTCATCTTCAGGCTGGTGCTTTCGGCTTCTTGTTACTGGAACAGAGCAGGATCTCAGTGTTTGAGTTCCTATAAATACTGTTGAGGGGGTGTGGTGTATAGCCTCCAATGTTCTGGGTAGAGAGGAAGTTCCCAGGCTAGTGTGCTTTTTCTTCTTTTGTTCCTTAATTACTTGAGGGATATCTTGAGTGATTTCTTGAGTGATATTCTGAGTACCACTTAGGTGGGTCATTAGGTGTGGATTAGTTGCTAAAGCCTTCGTGTCTTGACCTCTTGAGCTTTGTGAAGAGTTTTTCTGAGAAGATGGTTGTACTGCACTTAGTTGTGCTCTAAGTGCAGTACACTAAGTGCAGTACACTCTAAGTGCAGTACACTTCGTGCAATACACGAAGCCAAGCCAGAGCACAACTAAGTGCAGTACAACCATCTTCTCAGAAAAACTCTTCACAAAGCTCAAGAGGTCAAGACACGAAGGCTTTAGCAACTAATCCACACCTAATGACCCACCTAAGTGGTACTCAGAATATCACTCAAGAAATCACTCAAGATATCCCTCAAGTAATTAAGGAACAAAAGAAGAAAAAGCACACTAGCCTGGGAACTTCCTCTCTACCCAGAACATTGGAGGCTATACACCACACCCCCTCAACAGTATTTATAGGAACTCAAACACTGAGATCCTGCTCTGTTCCAGTAACAAGAAGCCGAAAGCACCAGCCTGAAGATGACGAGTGAGACCTCGTCGAAACGTCGCCTAGACACCCCAACTTTTACACGGGAAGACACCCGAGGACACCAAAACCTGCATATATATATATATATATATATATATATTTGATTTGACCCTGATCCTACAGATGTCCATTGCCATGGAAGTCTTTTGTGCAGAAGGGGTTTCCCCCTACTGTGCTGCCCATTATAATCCCATTATGAAGAAAGCAAGAATGCTAAGCCTAAAAAAACACATAGGATTGCAGTTGAGGCAGCTGCCTCTGCCATGCCCCATATAATGGTTTTGTAGGTGAGCTACTCCTTCTCCAGATATACAGGGTATAGCAGTACTGGCTGGAATATATTCCTGGGGAGCAGACCTGAGTGAAGACCATCGCTCACCCCAAAGTCGGTTAAGCTAAGCTTACCAGACGTCCCCGTTTCCTGGGGACAATCAGTCCCCTGACAAAATCCATCTATTTAGTAGGAAGTTGAAAAGTGTCCCCAGATTCATTGAAAAAAATCTGGTAACCTTGGGTTAAGCAGACATGCCCAGCCAACCAACCAACATCCCACGAATAAAAACTGGGAGAATTCACTTCCCAGTTGCAGGAGAGCCATTGCCTTCGCAACCTCTGCAAAACCGATGTGAGCTTGTGGTGCAGATGTGCTTTTGCCATTACAACGTGTCTTTTGCAGCAGCTTTGCCTAGCGATAGCAGTTGCTGGTGTCCCATTGCCATAGCTGTCAACTTTCCCCTTTTTAAAGGGAAATTCCCTTATTCTGAATAGGATTCCTCACAAGAAAAGGGAAAAGTTGACAGCTATGCGTATTGCTAACCCCGTGCTGCTGAGCCTGGGATGTCTGCAAAGTACCGCAGGCGTGGCATGGAGCAGGGCCCGCAATAATCACACACACACCCCTCTCTCACACAGACACCAGCTGCCCTCTTGTTTCTGAGCAAAACTGTGCATCGGATTGGGTCACCAGGCTGCTTTTGTTGTGGTAAAGAAAGGTTTACATGGGGAAAGGAGTTCAAAAATAGCTGAGATCCTAACACTGGCCCTTCCACCTCCCCGATCTGTGTAGACAAAGGTGAGGTTATAGTGAGTGCCTAGACCTTACATTCACCAGCAGAAGGATTAGGGAACAACAACACGACAAAAATCCTTCAAATCACCAGTTTTTCCTCCCCTTCACAAGTACAACTGTTCTTGTGCCTTCTGTGGCTTAACAATTTTCATCTTTTTGAACCTTTTCCTGCCCCTTTCCTCACAGCCGCAATAAGCTAGGTTCTTTTCTCCCACCCTCTCCCACCCCGTTTTTTCAGCTGTTTGACATGATGTTGATAGCTATGCATATTTTGTGTCTTTTTAAAGAAAAAAAATTAAAAAGCAGGAGACTAAGTTTTTGAAGAAGAGAATTTTTAGAACAGTTTGATAATGCAAATTATTTTTTTCTCAGTCCTTTGGGCGGCATTCAATTTTGGAAAAAAAACAACAAAATCTTGTAGAAAGCCAACTTTTTTGTAATAGTGGTGCAGATCTTGTGTTTTCTTAGCCTAATAAAAAGTAGTATAGAAGCAATATTTCATACGCAATATATATATGTGTATACATATACATACATATATACCCACATATACATACAATATATATATAGATATATATATATGTATATAAGCTTATACACACACAATATGCGTGTGAAGTGAAAAGCTTACCTTTTTCCAATGTAGATTAAGAACCTATTTTAGACATTTGTTATGTTTTGTGAGAAGAATGTTCTATTTGAAACTATGAAACATTTAATTCTTACTGTATCTCTGGTTGTGTAATGGGAGCGCTTCACATTAAATGGTTTTTAAAAAGTGAAAGATATTAGAATGTAGTAATTATTTAATGAAGTGTTCGCCCATATAATCCTGAGGTTTGCTTTTGTGCCTCTGAGTATTATTTAATTTAAAGTGTTTTAAGTTTGCAGAATCATTGTTACTGTACCAGGTATGTGGGTGAACATCTATAGCTGAGGGGAACTTTTATAAAGCAATGTATATATTCAGCTTGACGGCTTTTCTCAAATAAAAGGCACATGATTTTAATAACTACACTCTGAGAACATCTGTTAAATTTATAAGAAACGCTGCAGTAACTGTATAGATAGTTGAAAGCATTCTTTAAAACCCAGCTCAATACTTTTTAAAAGAGCTCTCTCTCTCTCTCTCTCTCTCTCTCTCTCTCTCTCTCTCTCATCATGTGTCCAGAACATGAGTGATTCAGTTTCTGTAAAATTACTGAATTCCCCCCCCCTTCCCATGTGCACAAAATAATTTATTGGCAAAGGGTTCCCTCCCTCCAGGTTAATAGTAACTAAGAAATAAAAGTGAAGATTTTGTGGCTTTAAATATAGGACTTTCACCAGCAGAACAGAAAGATATAAATATATATAAATATATATATATAAATAAATAAATATAAATATATATAAGAAGTGGTTTGCAAACCCCCTCAAATGAGCATTGTACATGAAAATGAATCAAAAATTAAAAAAAAAATCCTCCTCTATTTGTCATGTGTATTATATAGTAATTATTGATGTTCTAGTGCAAAGACTTCTTTTGGGTATCTCTCCTGTGTTTTGACATTTTTTGATAAGCATTGTTTTCAAAAAGCTCCCCTTTCAAGAATGTAACTGATTTATATGAGTAAGCAGTTACTGTATTGCACTTAAATGTTCTGTTGAAGGAAATGCAATTTTTGTTTTTCTGTGGAACTGTTGGTTGTAAAAAAAAAAACACAAAAAC